AATCATAGTAACTTCTAACTTGGACATAATTTCTATCAAAGCCAGTAAGCAGTAATCATGACCTTCAGCAGGCAAGAAAAGTGTCACTGAACACTCCAAAATACTTGTTCTCACACTTTCCATGTAGCAGGACAACCACAAAAGCTCTCAGCTACTCTCTCAGTATGTAGACAGCAATACTGTTTGGACCAATTCAATAAGCATGCAAGTGAATATGCAAAAACATGTATTACACAGGCAGCAAGGACCTGCAACGAGTAAGTGAGTATGTTTAGCACTATCTGGAATATCTACATCGCAACCTGCCCACCCATGCCACCCATGGCGTGTAAAACTAAGGAAGAGCGGGTAGAAAGAAGGGAAGAGTGATAAGCAATGCAGTCATCTGAACATGACATCAATAGCTCTTCCCCTTGCTAATTCATTGCAGCTGTGTTTACCAGCACAAGACTTGTACAAGGTCAAGCCAATAAGATCAGTTAACATTGCTGCATAAAGAAGTAATAAGAATATTGCGCGCGCGCACACACAAACACACACACATACACACACATGGCGAACATGAACATAGGAAGGGATGTGTTGGGTGTGTCCATGGAAAGAAGGAAGAGAGAGCTGGTGTGGATAGAAATCATTAAGACACACCCTATACATGTATGAAATTGTGAAAAAAAGACACATTATATCTATGTAGGAAATTGTGAAAATATAAAAGCTCTTCTAAAAAATAACAAAATAAATGAATCGGGTAGGTCTGTAAATCTATAACTATGTTTTAAAAAAGGCTTGAAAGTAAATGAAAAGAAGAAAGACCATATCAGAGCACAACTCTTTCAGTGGATATCCTCTGATCTGCTGCCAGACCAAAGCGTATTTTATAGGGCAGTATAATTACTCAAGAAGCCACTTTGTGACAATAAACACCCCAAACCGAGAAATCCTTTTGTAACCTAATTACTGAGAATATATAGAGAAAGCAACCATTTAGTCCCGAACATGTGTCTACCACAGGCACTCAGTAGCTGACTCCAGACTGGGTGTGGCTCATGTAGGCCCCCAAGAAGGAATTCTCATGGATTGAAGTCACTCCGAGTTAGAACTCAAGCAGGGCTGACAGAGCCACAGGCAGCTGACCTTCCAGGCACAGGGCGAAGCCCATCTGTCAGCTCCCATTCTACATCTGGGAGTGGAGTGGGTGTGGCTGGTGAGTTAAGACTGTGTGGTTAGAGGGCGTTGCCAGGGACTTCATTGCAAGATTTTTCACCCTTACATTTTATACACATTTCAAACCAAAGGCTGTGCCTAACCCAAAAGCTAAAAAATGAAAAAGTTTTCATTTTGTTTTTCCTTTTAGGAAAATAGGCTGGGTGTGGGGGCACATGCCTGTCCTGTACCCAGAAGGTGGAGCCACAAGGACCAGGAGTTCAAGGGCAGTTACTGGGTGAGTTAAAGCCCTGCCAGGATTACATGGGAGGGAGGGAGAGAGAGAGAGAGAGAGAGAGAGAGAGAGAGAGAGAGAGAGAGAGAGAGAGAGAGAGAGAGAGAAATGGTATCAAAACTGCAGGTACCTCCAGTCTGCCTTTGTTCTGAGTTTTAAAATGTAAACGGCACAGTCAAGAGCTGCAGTCCATTTCAGAACTCATAAAAATGAAAGTTACTCCCCAAACAAGAAGGCGGCAGTGCTGCTAATCTGGAGATTCTTAGCTCTTGGTCATTAGTCAGCATGCAAGCCCAATGGCGACAATGCCAATACTACTACTAATAGTAATAATAATAGTGTTTGCGCCATTACTACTTATGCGCAATTACTGTGTATTAACCCGCACACACACACTTCAACTATATTTATAAACCCAAAACACTTAAGAATGCCTTTTCTAAATATAAGCAAATCCTCTGGCCTCCCAATTTTATAGAATTGTTTTAATGTTATTTAGTTTATATAAATGTGAAATTCCATACTTTTTAAATCTTGTATTGATTAGAATAAGTACCCAGGACAATGACATATTGTCAGTTATTTGAAAGTATCACCTTGCTGGATGAGGTTTCTCCCAACACCAAATTAACCAACTCTTCCCACTTGAAATGCCCTGCGTACAGGCCTGGAGGGCGCAGTACTTACATTGCCTTTCTAGGATAAAACTCACCCAGGTTTACAATAAGTCATTTCACTGTGTTACTAACAGACGGCTTCTTGGCATGACCTCTAACTCTCAGAGACGTAGAAAATGTGTTTTCCCTTTACCAAAAAAAAAAAAAAAAAAAGGCAAAAGAGAAATTTCTGGCCCATCAAAACACTATAGACTAGGTGTGAGCCTGCTCTGAGGACTGAACAGCAAGCACCCTGGGAGAAAGGGTTCTTTACACTACTTTCCCTGTTGGAACACAGGGAGGCAGCAGCTGGAGTAAACAACCGGCCCAGAGTTGCTGAGGTCAAGGTCTCAACAGCTAGACCAAGACTATTTCTGCCCAGATGACAGGGTTTCTTGAAAAGGACTTTCTAGTAGGTGACAACAATTTTCCGTTAAGAAACAGTCATTCCCCGATAAAGTTGAACTGACCAAAGTTTCCTTGAAATATGGCTATGTAAGAGACACATAACTAAAAGTCCTCAGCAATCAAGAGAAATCCTCAAGAGCATTCTATTTACCCGGACACAGCTGTATTAGTTAAGTTGATGCCGCTCATAAATTATTAAATTTTCATGTGAAAATATTTTAGTTGTGCTGGTTTAAGTGTATTTCATATTAACTATGAGTTTGCATAATAAACCTTTCCTTTCTAAATGCATTAAATGTTCTTGCCAATTTTTAAATGCTCAGATAGCTCTCTCCCAGACCCAGATGAGCTTGGTCTATTCAGTCTAGTATCAACACTGAGCAGGCAGCACCGATGGAGAGGTGACTTAGGCAATTGAAATGTCTGTCTTCCAACATCCTATTCCTAACAAGAGTCTACCGTTAAATTTTTTCAAACCTAAAAATATACTCTTTACGTAACCAATCTCTACCTGTTTTTCTTTTTCTTTTTCTTTTCTCTCTCTCTCTCTCTCTCTCTCTCTCTCTCTCTCTCTCTCTCTCTCTCTCTCTAAATGTAATCAACATTCAGATGAAGACCCACTAGTAAACCAGGCTTTTTTTCTAAGGGAGGAGGGGTCCCTCTGTAGTAATTAAATGCCCGTCTTAAAAGGATGTCTTGGATGACGGTTTATTTTCTCATCAAAGTGACCAATCCTATTCACATCAGAAGCTGCTGCTTGCGAAAAGCCACCAAATGTCTTTCAAAGCATTCCCTTGTCCAAACAACTCTCTCCTCCACTAAGAAAGAGGCATGAAGGCTTCGAGGTGGATTTGCAGGATGACGTGTATTTGATTGGCAGACGTCTAAGACGCAACTAGATGCACAGGCACTAAATGTAAATAGGTCCTCTGCCTGCCTTTCCGGTGTTACAGGGAAACAGAATATTAACGCCAAGTTAAAATACCTTAGTGCTCGCTTGAGAATTCTGTTAACCAGTAGAAGTATTTAAAACAATCTATACAGAACAGAGACTTAAGCCGTCTGTACAGTTAAATTAGAGAGCTGGCAACACTAAAGCAGAAACTGTTTATCCAGATTACACATTCCGTTGTACTAATACTCTTTAACGCAACAAAGTCAGCTTTTGTCAGCCGAATTAGGGCACTTACTAGTAAAGTATGCAAAACTAGAAGACCAGGGGAAGGGGGCTGGGAAGCTACAGGACACCTAACAAAGGAACTGGTACTTTTCCTCCAAGCCTTTGCCTCAAACGCACGGAGAAACAAAACTGTTGAGTGCACCCCACCCTTTCCCCCAAAGGTAAAAGTTTGCAAAGTTCTGGGAGGCAGTTCTCTAACCAACAAAAGCAGGGTTGATTCTCCCAGTAGGAGAGCTTCTAACGTGCACACCAACTAACGTCGCGGAGGTCAAGTCCTAGCCCTCTTAGCTTTGCGTCTAAGGTCAGAAGTGGCTCCAAGGCCAGTTCCGCCGGCTTCTCGGCCCAGGTGGCCTTACAAAGTTGTCCCTTGTCAACTCCAGCCAGGTCCTTCGTAATTGAAAATAAGAGCCACAGGCCAGCCCCTGGCTACTCCCATGGACCAGGCACAGTAGCAAGTGACAGTTCCACATCATTACGACCAGAGACAATAATGAATGTAGCGCCAGGACCACTATTCATGCCAGCAATGTTATCGCCTCCTTAACCCCTTCCGCTCCACTCTCCAGTGCTCATACACTGCCCGCACAGCCCCGGTGCGGCTATTCATCCAGCCCATCCATTGCGGGGGACCAACTACTTCCACGACCCCCTCCCCTCCCCGCGCGCCTCTTTCAGCCCTGAGGATTTATTTCTCATCCTTGGCAACTGTCAGGCAAACACTGCAACCAACAATTTCAGTCGGGGGAGCAAAGCATTTGCTTAATTTACGTTACTTGCTAAGTTCTTTTAAAAATGTTTAGGGAGTGGGACAAGTAACCACCCTCTTTCTTCTCCGCGAATCCGACCGCCGCTCCTGGCTGGGCAATAGCATCGCCCTTCCCCGGCCCCCTCCCGCTTCCCAACACTTTCCCCCCATTTAAGAACACAGACCAACCAAAATGATTTAACTTGAGCAAATGACAGAAGGAAAATAAAACACGTTAAGAGAATACGATCTGATTTGGGATGGCAAAAAAAAAAGGAGGGGTTGTTTATTTTGATAAAAAACGGAATCGGCACAGACCTGAACAGAAGCTGCAGAGCAGGAGAAATTGTTTTCTTTCCCTCACACAGAGTCCCCCTCTCTCTCGCCCTTTCTCTCTCTCACACACGCGCGCGCACACACACTTGCTCACACACACACACACACACACTCACGGCGTCACCCGCGCACACTCACACGCACACGCACAAGCAGAGCCTCTCAGCTGCTCTCTGCAGTTCTCAGGAAATGAATGGGGGGCAACCCAGGGAACTGTTGTACTTGCAAATGACTTACCCAGATCACATGATGCGCTAAATGTAGGGTGGGCCGGTGGGTGGAGGCTGTCGAGACGGGAGCCCAGGTCTAACGTGGGGAGCCTCGCCAGGCCCGCATCGAATTACCCCGGGGCCCAGCCGAGGGGGTTGCAAGAAGCCGCTCTCCTCCCTTTGCAGCCCGCAGCTCAGGAAATCCGAGAGGCGCGGGGGGTTGGGGCGGGGTGGGGTGAGGTTGGGGTGTGTGTAGGGTGGGGTAGGGGTGAAAACAGAAAACCCCCAAACAAAAGAGCTCCGGGTCCTCCTCCCCAGAAACAAAGCCCCGCCGCTGCGGGCGAGCCCTGGGGTGGGGCCGAGGGCGGGGGCGGCGGCGGGGAGGGGCTCGCTCAGCAGGCGCTAAGTCGCTTTATTGCCATAAAATGGGGCCCCGAGCCGCTCCGCGGGAGGATTAGGAGGCGGGCTCTGAGTGTGATGGTTGAAATCCCCTGTGGGAAACTAACCCCTCCCCGATCGCAGAGGTAAAACGCAACACCCACTGCCCAGCCCTCGTCTTGCCAGGCTGGCCAGCGGCAGGGGGTGGGTCCTCGGAGCCACCACCCCGCCCCACCCCGCCCCACCCCTGCCCCCGCCCCTGGCCCTGGGCCTTTGCCGCGCCACCCTGTCACCTGCACCACCTCTCTCTGCGGCACCCTAAATAACCCACACATGGCCCCTGCGACTCTTATAGCCGCAACCTAAGGGAAATTCTAGGGGTCGCGGAGAGAGGAACCCCCTGATGGCAACTCTCGGGGCGAGACTCTTGCTGAGCTGCCACCAAGTCCCCCTCTTTTGTGTCACCACGCGCCTAGGCAGTCTTGGGGAAAGAATTAGAAGCCGATTAAAGCGGTCAGCCCGCGTGGCCCTCGCCCACTCCCCACCGCAGCCTCGGTGGGTGGGGGCGAACGAGGAGGGGGCCCGGCGCCCGAACTGTCCCCGCGGCTCACCCGCAGCTAACTTAGAAAGGTATGGGCGGAGCCGGCCGAGTCTGCAGGGTCCGCCCCCGGGCGCCCGGAGGCTTGGGCAACAATGGGGTCCCGGCGGGGTCTACCCCGCGGGTGGCGCGGGCGGACAGACTCGATTAACGACAGGGGGATCATTGTTTGGGTCCGAGTGGACGACACGTTGCAGGAAAGGCAGGGGCGCCCCGCTGGCCGTGATTCACCTTGGCGGGATGAATGGGGGCGAGGTGCGGGTGTGTGCCTCTCAGAGCAGCGCTGGCACACCGGGGCGCCAGACCGCGCGGGTGATTTAGGAAAGCAGTAAAGTCGACGTCGTAGGGAGGAAAGGAGACTCAAACTGAGCTGGGACCCCAGCCAGGGCGTCGGGGACACGAGCAGGGGACAGATCGGTGCTCGGTCCTCGGAGGGGAGCCCGGCGCTGGACGCCATCCCGGGCGGCCCCGCCTGCGCGCACGGGGCAGAGGATCCGCGAGATTCTGGGCAGGAGAGGGAGGAGGCGGCTCCGCTCTTCCCGCCGCGGCTGGGGGGGGGGGGGGGGGGGGGGGGGGGGGGGGGGGGGGGGGGGGGGGGGGGGGGTAGCGGAGGAACCGGAAAGGCCCCGG